ATTAATTTTTATTTACTTTTATTTATTTTTATTTATTTTTATTTATTTTTATTTATTTTTATTTATTTTTATTTATTTTTATTTATTTTTATTTATTTTTATTTATTTTTATTTATTTTTATTTATTTTTATTTATTTTTATTTATTTTTATTTATTTTTATTTATTTTTATTTATTTTTATTTATTTTTATTTATTTTTATTTATTTTTATTTATTTTTATTTATTTTTATTTATTTTTATTTATTTTTATTTATTTTTATTTATTTTTATTTATTTTTATTTATTTTTATTTATTTTTATTTATTTTTATTTATTTTTATTTATTTTTATTTATTTTTATTTATTTTTATTTATTTTTATTTATTTTTATTTATTTTTATTTATTTTTATTTATTTTTATTTATTTTTATTTATTTTTATTTATTTTTATTTATTTTTATTTATTTTATTTTTATTTATTTTATTTTTATTTATTTTATTTTTATTTATTTTATTTTTATTTATTTTATTTTTATTTATTTTATTTTTATTTATTTTTATTTATCTATTTTTATTTATTTATTTATTTTTATTTATTTATTTATTTTGCACGTCCGGTCTCAACTACTGTCTTATGGAATACTAGGTTCGCGAGGTGACTGGAAAAATCAATATACTACAGAAATGGATAATAAAAATTATTTATAATAAAATGCTTATATTTCCTATATAAAAAAAGTGATCAGCTCTTTAGTATTAGTAAAATTTTCGATTTGAGACTTTATTGTCAAAGAATACTTTTAGCCATCTACAAAAATAAAATTGGACACACGTAGGCGTCATCAAAACGTAAAAATTCCTAAATGAGCATAAAACCACGTAGTACTATTTATATAGGCCCCAAATTATTTAATTTTATGCCATCAGACCTTCAAAATATAAATAAATCAAATCAATTTAAAATCAGGCTTAAAAAAATGGATTATTAGTACCATAGGCGCCGGAACTCAAAAATTGCTTTGGGTGCCCGGCCTCTATGCGGAAAATGGGGGCTCTCCCTCCATACCCCACTTAGGGTCACTACTGGTTTTTTGAAAGCACTTTAAAAGCCATTATAAAGCATTGATTTTATGAAAATTTTCTTGGAAAAAAAAGGAATTGTCAAATGTTGAATTGCTGGAGTTTTGAAGATTGAAGCGGCAGACGGAAGTATCAATAATCGGTAGGATGGAGGCTCCCACCTAAATCGGGATATCTGGCAACCCTATATGCTCGGTGCAGCCACCACTGGTATTCAGTGGTGCTGGGGTGCTAGAGTACCAATGAAATAAATAGAAACGCAATATAAAACATTTATTAACTATCATGAATTTAGAAGAACATTTGTGATGATTTATTAATAGTGCCCCCGGGAATTCGGCGCTTATGATTATTACTGATAGGAAACTTTTTAGTAATATAGAAAATAATATTTAAAAAATATGTACTTATCCCTTACTGTCCGTTTGTTTTACTTTTTCAAATTTAATTGTCTATTTTATATAGTTAGATGTAGGTACATAATACATTAATTAGATATGTTTAAAAATATTTTTTCTATCAGAATTATGTAGATTAGGAATGTACCAAAATAAGCCACAAATACATCACAAACAAGCTCTAGATTTAGAGCTTCTTTGATTAGATGTTTATTTTACCATTGTTTAAATTTACCTGTGTATTACTGTTATTACTATTATTATATAGGGTGGGTAATTTATAATAAATAACCTTTGCATAACTATTTCCTACCTAGTTCAAAAATCAGCTATTGCATACCTCATTTTTATGACTAGTGGAATTAGCATTCCATATTGGTAGCAAGTTCTTGAGCAATTACAAAAATGTATAAAGATAAAAGTAGATAAGTGCATCTAAGTTACCTACTTCATTTACTCAACTTATTTTAATGAAGCGTGTTGTAAATTTAATTACTTATTACTACTGAATATGTACGGTGACACTGTTAATTATTTAGATAAAATAGTAAAATGAGATGTAAGATGTTTGATAAGAGATGATGAACGCGTATAGAATATTCAAATGACAAGATACATAAGACGTAAGTATCTGGGTACTATGAATGAGATAGCTGCCTCAACAAAATGATTTACGCCGTATACCCAAAGGGGATGTTAGGAAATTTACTTTAATTCACATAAGAGATCATAAATTTCAGCTTTAACGAGGTTTATCAATATGTTGGTTTGGCAGGCATATCAAATACAGTCAATAATCTGTTTGTTAGGAATCTCAAGAATACCTATTAGCAATAGCCTGTATTACAAGATGGTTTAAAATTTCCATATGTTGTAAATAGGTAGGTACCATTATAAAATATAATTTTCAGTTTACACTTTTTGTGTCATTAGCTTTTTATACATTTACTGTATAATATGTTTGAGTTAGTTTGTTAAATCGTATTTTATACATAAATTAAAATAAATATTGTCAATCAACATAATTAATTTTTATTTAATAGCTCCAAATCTTACGAAAAGATGGATTATTATTAGTTTTATTTACATTAAAATAATTAAGAAAAACAACAGGTTTTAACAAATCAATCAATCTCAAACAAAAAATGATCAAATTCTGTCAAAACAAAATTTAAGCCAATCAACCGAGGCGAAGCCATGGCAGAACTTACCGGTTGCAGATTTCATATGTGTCAAAGTTCGTTTAGAAATATTTTAATGGTTTTAGGCCGCACAAGTTAGGTGAATTACTTAACTCTTTAATTTTTCTTATTTTATTGTGAAGCAACCCACGATGGCTCTAGGCCATACAGGTTAGGTAAATTATTTATTTTTTATTTTTCTCATTGTATACAAGATGTATGGGAAAATCTGGGAGGTCTCTCGGATTCAGATAGAACATTAAAAAATAAGATGACAAGTTCCCATAATTTTTTTCCTAGCGGCCCTCCCTACGGAGATACGGCCCCAAAAGTACGCCACTGGAAATTAATTTTTCTTGAATAACTTTCAAACTACGTAATATAATTTAATGAAAATTTAATATGATAAACATTAGTAAGAACCTCTTAAAATACTGCCCTTTAAACATAATTAGCTTGTTTAGTTTACCAGCGACAGACTAGGTTGTACATTTTAATGCTTACATTTTTAACATTTATCATACATAAGGACTTAAAAAAATAAATTTAGATACCTTGAACATTAAGCGAATGAAAAGGTATTGTTCTTCATTGTCGATAAAATGAACCGTTTTCGAGAAAAAAAAAAATAATAAAAGAATTAATGTTTTATCTTTATTAAAAAATTAAACTCCCAGAATTAGCTAATTTCAAATTGGTAAATTCTAAAATACAACTTGGAGTATTATGTTTTCATCCTGAACTCACTAAAGCTTGTAACGATTGAACCTAAATACGCTAATTAGAAATAATCAATTAAAAACTCTATAAGTGGGTTCAACATGTGCTCCGTGAACTCTGATACACTCGAGGGCCCGACAAATGGAGGACTGCTGTACTCGCCACAACAACCCAGAATTGTTCCTTATCACATCACAATGAAATGTGATTCTCTGTAAAAGTTCCTCCCTAGTATTAACCGGAAAGGAATACGCCAAGGTTCTGAGATGACCCCATAGATAAAAATCCGTTGGCGTTAGGTTGGGAGACCGTGGAGGCCAGGCAATTGGACCTTCTGCCTATCCAACGGTTTCGATAGACGTTATTCAGGTGGTCCCGTACAGAGACGCTAAAGTGAGGTGGGGCTCCATCATGCATAAAATACATGCTTCGGCGGGTTTCAAGTGGCAAATGCTCTATTGAATCCAGAAAAGCGTTCTGAAGGAACTGTTAATAAAGTTCACCGTACAATCGTTGTGGCAATATGCATGGTCCAATCAAAAAATTGCCGATTATTCCTGTGCAAACATTAATTGATTGGAACTGATGTTGATAATGATGAACAACAGTGGCATGAGGGTTTTCATCATGCGAGTTGTAAATTTACAATACTATTTTTGGTAAACCCTGCTTCATCGGTAAAAAGAATAGTGCTAATGAAGTTTCCGTTTGTTCGTTGCTGATCTAACAGCCAGTTTGCGAACTGGATTCTTCGAGGAAAATCTTCAGGAAGTAGTTGATGCACTTTTTTCAGATGATAAGGGTATAACAACTGTTCTTTAAGTACCTTAACAATTGTCGTTTTTGACACATAAAGCTGCGCGGCTAATCTTCGCCTATTAAAGAAGTATCAGCTACAGCAGTGGTTCTCAAACTTTTTTGGTGACGGAACCTTTTTGAAAAGTGAAATATTTGACTAAGCCCTAAACACTTTTCGGGAAAAAAAGCTCTCCTTGCTCTAGCCTCTTGCCAGGTCCTTAATGATAATAATAATGATATTAGTAAAATAATGTCTGAAAAATGCTCCTTCGTAAAAAATTGGATTTTTTCTCAACTCTTATATCTCGTAGCGAAAAAGTTTTATTTTTTATTACTTTATTTGATCATACCCACTTTTTGATATTTGGCTGCTATTTTCTTGCACTATCACAATCATAATACAATGATTAATACATGAAAGGTATATAAAATTCAAAACTGACGAGCTTCCTGAAATAACATGTTATTACGAATGACTAGAAAATAGAAAACTGCAAAACTGCTTGAGTACAACACTTGATATAAAGGCGATAAATGAGACTCACGCACATTCGAGATGTGATAGTGGTTACACCCATTACTAGCAATATGAAATACAAGCCTTACTTAGACATCGAACCACTTTTACAGCATCTATGTTTTATTATAATAGGCAGTGTCTACTGTCTCTAACACCACTTAATTGAAACAGTAATTCTGTGATCGGGTTTATTGAGAAAGAAGAAGAATAACAAGATAGGATAACCAGAGCTAACGATTAAGAAAATCTAAGAGATATAGGACTACAGTTCTATTAAAAAAGATATCATTTAAGTCCGCTAAAAAACATCAAAAATTACGGGATGTATCCCGTAAGTTATCTTACAAATAATGCAATAAATTAGAAATAAATTAGAAATAAATTAGAAATAAATTAGAAATAAATTAGAAATAAATTAGAAATAAATAAGAAATAAATTAGAAATAAATTAGAAATAAATTAGAAATAAATTAGAAATAAATTAGAAATAAATTAGAAATAAATTAGAAATAAATTAGAAATAAATTAGAAATAAATTAGAAATAAATTAGCAAACAATAATACATTAGCAAAAGGTTAATAATAAATTAAAAATAAACTAGCAATAAATTAGCGATAAATTAGTAATAAATTACCAATAATTAGCAATACATTATCAATAAATTATTAATAAAACAGCAATTGAAATAAATTAACTAAATAGCAATGAATTAGGAATAAATTAGCAATAAATTAGCAATAAATTAACAATAAATTAGCAATAAATTATCAATAAATTAGCAATAAATTAGCAATAAATTAGCAATAAATTAGCAATAAATTAGCAATAAATTATCAATAAATTATCAATAAATTATCAATAAATTATCAATAAATTATCAATAAATTATCAATAAATTATCAATAAATTATCAATAAATTATCAATAAATTATCAATAAATTATCAATAAATTATCAATAAATTATCAATAAATTATCAATAAATTATCAATAAATTATCAATAAATTATCAATAAATTATCAATAAATTATCAATAAATTATCAATAAATTATCAATAAATTATCAATAAATTATCAATAAATTATCAATAAATTATCAATAAATTATCAATAAATTATCAATAAATTAGCAATAAATTAGCAATAAATTAGAAATAAATTAGCAATAAATTAGCAATAAATTAGCGATAAATTAGCAATAAATTAACAATAAATTAGCAACAAATTAGTAATAAATTAGTAATAAATTAGTAATAAATTAGTAATAAATTAGTAATAAATTAGTAATAAATTAGTAATAAATTAGTAATAAATTAGTAATAAATTAGTAATAAATTAGTAATAAATTAGCAATAAATTAGTAATAAATTAGCAATAAATTATCAATAAATTAGCAATAAATTATCAATAAATTAGCAATAAATTATCAATAAATTAGCAATTGAGATATCAAAAACCTGCGTAACATTGGTGACAGCGGTGGAATACAAAGTAGAAGTTCATGGTAAGTACTACATCCACTGAGTATGAGGCAGGCATGGATTTTTCAGGCCCACCAGCATGGTTTTTGAAGATGGAAGAGGAGAGAGTGAGGCCAGAAGAGGAAAAGAAAAGGCGTAGGAAAGAAGAAGCGAAGGAGAGAGTAAGGCGAGAAGAGGAAAAGAAAAGGTGTGGGAAGGAAGAAGAGGAGGAAAAGGAAAGGCGAAGGAAGGAAGAAGAAGAAGAAGAAGAAGAAGAAGAGGAAAAGGCGAGAAGAGGAAGAAAGAAGAGATGCATAGAAAAGTGGAGGTAGAGATTATAAATGGCTTAGTACAAATACAGGAAACCTGCAAGTAAGATGTTGGTCAGCTTAAAATTGGAGTAAATTAAGAGCATTTAAAAACTAATTTAAAACAACAAGAAACGGCTAGAATAGAGTTATAAAGGCAAATTAGAACTGAATTAGTAGGATTAGGAAGAAGAATTCGTAGACTAGCTTTGGCAAGTAACAGAGCCAAGCCATATCCAAAACATAGTTACACAAAGCCATACTAGCAAGACCATTAATCTACCCACGTTCGAGGGTCAGACAACATGGGGAACGTATCGACTCCAATTTGAAGCTGCAGCTAGAGCCAGTGGCTGAACCGAGGAAGATATGGTTGCTTTATTGATAGTGTCGCTGCGAGGACAGGTAGCATCCAATTAATAGTTACTTTCCCAAGAAGAACCCAGTTATTTATCTCTCGTCCAAGCTTTAGAGACAAGATATGGCCAGCAGCCAATACTAATGCATTCCCCCCAACCTACTCTATCACAGATCTTAAATATCTTTCAAAATATGCTACAAAACAGCCAAAATGGAAGCAGGAGATGCTTCAATTGCGGAAGAATCAAGCATCTTCAAAGAACCTGTAGAAATATGGCTCATTCTATAAATCGAGAACAATGAAACCGGAAAATCATATAGATCAATCATCCGAAGCCTGCCACGAAGTCCAACAAGAAATAATTACAGCAGCTATGTATCCCGAAGAAGCCAATCACCCACACCGAGCCGGCGTTCTAGCAATAACCAGAAAGTAGAGCATCGAAGAGGTCTCCATAGCAGACATTCTCTTCGGGCGACCCCGTTTAGAAGAACAATGCTGGTATAGTAAAAGGCTCGAAGAGCGAGAGGAACCGGTTGATAAAGTTACTCTTCGGGCAACCACTATCAAGCCAGAGGGCGATGAAGAAGAAATCACCCTTGAAAGTCTGAGAAAGGGATAAAAGAAAGACAATGACTTAAAGGTTGTCCGAGAATGGCTCAAAAATAAAGTCACACCTAGTTGGCAAGATATAACCAAATTCAGTGGAACCCGAGAATAACCAAACGCCGAGAAGCGACAAAGACCCTTTCCCGCCGGGTCGGTTTTTGACGGCGCATGATTGAAAATATGGGGTCTATTTGCATGTGGCCAGCTAGATCAGCGCGACACCTTATACGAAGGTGTCCAACGATTTTGATCTGAGCGCAACAACTGTAGTTTTGACTGTTTTGAATTATTTCTTTCAGTTATTACTGTGTGATTTTTGTTTTCAGGATAATTTCGTAACAAAATGGTTGGATATTATTGTGTAGTTCATGAATATGATTCCAAATGTGAAAGATTTGGTTCCGAATATAAAAAGCTGGATGTTTCCAGGCTACTAACTCAGTTCAAGTCTTACTATTCTGATAGTACGTTTGGGAATTTACAGTCTCCATCTGAAGAATTTTGTAATTATACAGGGTGTTAAAAAAAAGTGTCTCAAAATGAAATGGTGAATAGTATGACCCAAAATAAGCAGAAAAGTCCTAATAAATATATGACCGCAAATTAACGGTTTCGGAGATACGGACCATTTTGTGTTTATAACAATTTTTTATTATTATAAAAAACAATGATATTTATAAACAATCAATAACAACATAGAGTTAAATGAGATGTTCAAAGTGCCCTCCCTCCATTTCAATGCATTGCCATTTGCACGACCGTACATAAAATGCATGTCAGCTAATTCAATATTAGTGTAAACAGGCATAACGAAAATTTATAAAATTATTCACCCTCAACAAAATAATAACTGCAAATAGTATCTATGAAAAAACATCGGTAGACTCCGATAAGAAAAGCAAGTTTTTGAGAATGAAAAAAGATAATCAAAAAATGATACGAAACACAAAACACTCCGTATCTCTGAAACCATTCATTTGCGGACATATGTTTATTAAGACTTTTCTGCATATTTTGGCCCATACTACCCCCCGTTTTATTTTGTGACACTTTTTTTTAACACCCTGTATATACCTACAAACTGGATTGTTTATTTACATCTCAGTTTGAAAATATTTGTACCGGACGAGCCTTATCCCATAGATTGTTACAGCAAATGAAAACAATAAATTTTACGCCAGCTTGTCCACATTTTCCTACAGAATATTTATTAAAATTATTTATTAGGTTGAAGATTTTTTATACTGTAAAATACGCTAACAGGGATGTTAAAAGAGATAAAGGAAATAAAGCAGCGAGGAAGCTAAAAATATTATCACACACATAAAATTGTATCACCCACAAATGCAGTGGTCAAAAATAGGCTACACTTAGTTATTTTTTTTTTTTTTTTGTTTAATTAGGTGGGTGACGGCGTAGTTTTTGACTATTGCGCAAAAAATGATTGACTTTTTATTATATATACATATTTTTTAAATGTTTCTGTGTATTATTTATTTAAAATCTGATTGCCACTTTTAAGATATTTTCACATATATTCACCTCCAGAAAGTCAAAGGCATATAATTTTAAATGCAAAATAAAAATGTACTCCCTTACTAAAAACATATTTAGAGTTAAGCAGTGTAAATTACAATTCAGCTTGCGTGCGGTGTAATTATGGTATCTTCAAGGTCACCGCAAATCGACCCCACGTTCCGACAAAGCTGTCGCTTCTCGGCGTTTGGTTATTCTCGGGTAGAACTATAAAAGGCTACTGGACTTCACGTTGGCCTATTGCATTGGATGCACATTTTGAGAGAAGCGACCCAGTATGGCTGTGCAATCCCAAGCATCGAGGAGGACTTTGTCAGAAATGGCAACGGAACTGGAAAGGCCTCTACTCCGACCTTAAGGAAAATCAACGACCTGATTTGCCACATTCAGCTGTCAGCGGGAAGTAAAGCCAAAGTAGTTCACATTGGAAAGATAGCTCCATGCCGTGGTCCAGATCCTCCCCATTAGTTCCAACTAGGTCCCAGTAATCAAGTTATTCGGGGCGAATAACTGGAGAGGAGGGAGCAATGTTACGCAGCACCCTACAGCGTGCTGCGGTCGTCATAAGTAAAGGTTCGAGTAAAAGAAAAAGGGGGAATATTCTAAAAATGTCTAATAAGAGGCACTACATTACCGAACAGCTGTCTAACATTAGTTGCCTAATGGTAGGCGGTAAAAATACTCGCAAGGAAAGTGACTCAATCACCCTCTGAGGGACCTGAACCGTTTTGCGGTATCAGCAGTAACACAATATTAGGAGAAATTAAAAAATAGTTGCGAAGTAGAAGAACCGAGAATTGGAATGATCTCTTAGGGTTACAACAGGCTAAGGCACTTCTGAGTCACCATAATAAGAAAATATCGGATGCCTGTATCTAGCTGAGCAACAACAGGCAACGAATAGTAATTACCCGGCATTGTCGACTAAAAGGATACCTTTGTCAGCTTTGACTAGTAGAAGAGAGTTCATACAGATTCTGTAAGCAGGCGGACTAAACTTCCATTTACATTGTGGCTGATCGTGTAGCACTAGAATATCCAAGAACACTATACTTGGTACAAAGGTGACAAAGTGGGTGCTATGAACTAACATGGGATAAAACACAATAAGTCAATAGGCTTCAGTGTTATTTGGAGATACATAGTCAGACGAGCCCAGAAGAAAGAAAAAGAAAATACTTCCATTTAAATTCTGACTGATCGTGTAGCACTAGAGAATGCAAGAACACTATACTTGGGAGCACAACAAATAAAATATGGTCATTTGTCCAGCTTGTAGTCACTCTAAATCATAAAATTGCTCATTGTATAATTAGAAAATCTTCATTAGAACATTGCACGATTGTTTAAAAAAAAAAATCGCTAAAAGTTTCAGTACGATTGATTTTATGTTTAAAAAGAATATTTTGATACAACAAATTCCATAAAATTCAATAAAAAATCACAAATACCCAAATCAGTCGAATAAAGAGGACGAATTAATAAATTTATTTTAGCATTGAATTTTGGGAGGGTAAAAGGTAGTAAACAATAAATATAAAACTATGGAAATTATTGTATCTTTAAATTCTGACAACTAAACAAAAGAAAAGGTTACAAAAGCAGAGGTTAAGCCTGCTGATAGACCGAAAAAACCTTCCGGAGCTGAGAGGAGGCAACTTTTGAAGGAAAGAAAAATGGCTGCAGGAACGTGGACGGAGGAAAATCCCCACAAGAATGCAGCCCAAAAACGAAGCCAACGGAGGGAAGACCAAACGAAGAAAGGGGATAAAAGGCCCCAATCTGAGTCACAGGCTCCCCCCACTCGAAATGGAACGAAGCGGGCCAGAAATACTCCGGCATCGGCTGGCTCGTACAGCGACACTTTGAGAGGTATCCGACTGGCTGTCATCCAGAGTAGGCATCCAGAACCCTAGACCAAGCCCAAGGAGACTTGGTACAAGAAACTCTTGTGGAAAGGCTCTACGCTACCCCTTCAGGCAGTGGAGGAGCACCACAGTTCCATAGAACATCGCTTAGCACAGGGGTCATTTGGATGACCTGCGCTAACCAGCAGACCGGGGACTGGTTAAAGAGGACGGTCGGCACTCTGGGAAACCTTTGGGAGGACGCGGATTTGATCGTGGTTGAATCAAAGGACCTCTCGAGAAGACCCAGGGTTCTGGTTTTCATCCCAGACGAGTCCGAGGTTATTTGGTGTGCTGGCCAAAGACACAGCAAAGGAAAGTAATAACGAGGCTAAGCAAGGTACAAAGACTTGCCTGCCTTGAAATAACGGGAACAATGAAAACAACCCCCACTGCTACAATGGAAGCCCTAATAGGACTCCCACCTCTTCACTATGTGATACAAGGGGAGACAAGATTTGGTGCTTACAGATTAGGGAATCCACTGGGAAATCTTGACATTAGGCCAGGTCACATGAGTATCTCAAGGTTAGTGATAGGAGACGTGCTAGACATGAGATCCGACCACATAACCAACAGGTACTCTTTTAATACTCCATTTGAGGTTTTAATACAGGAAAGAGCGGAGATCACCATAAGGGAGCCCAATGCCCAACGACAGGAACAAACCTGGTATACAGACAGGTCTAATACTGCGGAAGGCACTGGGGCAGGAGTATTCCCCAAAAACCCTGATACTAACCATAGCTATGCTATAGGAATACATTTCTCGGTATTTCAGGCCGAGGTATACATAATTTTGCAATGTGCAAAAACGAACAATGAAAGAGCTGTCGAAAATCAGCATATTCAAATAATGTCAGACAGCCAAGCGGCACTTAAGACCATATCGAGTCAGAAAGTTACGTCGGGGCTGGTATGGGAATGCATCGAAGAACTAAGTACACTGGCAGACCGAAATAGAGTGAAACTATATTGGATGCCAGGTCATAAACGACTGGTTTCGGGAACAACATATCAACTATTGGGGAAGCACCCAAAAACAGGCACATGAAAAAGCCTTCATAGGCAGACCATGTCCCAAAAGAACTGGAGAACTACTCTTAATGAATAGGAACCGGTTGAAAGTGATAACAGGGTTCATGACTGGGCACGCCCCAGTAAAGGGACACTCGAACAAAATTGGCATGTACAATGGGAAACTCATGTGCCGACTATGTCACAAGAAACCAGAAACGACCAAACACATACTGTGCGAATGCGAAGCTCTAGATCGCAAAAGACAGGCTCTTTTTGGACAACCTCAGGTTGATCCAACAACGTATAGAACCCACTCACCCAAGGACCTGTATAAACTTGTACAAGGTACAAAGGTGACAGAGTGGGTGCTATGAACTAACATGGGGTAAAACACAATAAGTCAATAGGCTTCAGTGTTATTCAGAGACACATAGTCAGACGAGCCCAGAAGAAAGAAAAAAAAATACTTCCATTTACATTCTGGCTGATCGTGTAGCACTAGAGAATGCAAGAACACTATACTTGGGAGCACAACAAATAAAATATGGTCATTTGCCCAGCTTGTAGCCACTCTAAATCATACAATTGCTCTTTGTATAATTAGAAAATCTTCATTAGAACATTGCACGATTGCTTAAAAAAAAAATCGCTAAAAGTTTCGGTACGATTGATTTTATGTTTAAAAAGAATATTTTGACACAAAAAATTCCATAAAATTCAATAAAAAATCACAAATGGCCCAATCAGGCGAATAAAGAGGACGAATTAATAAATTTATTTTAGCATTGAATTTTGGGAGGGTAAAAGGTTGTAAACAATAAATATAAAACTATTGAAATTATTGTATCTTTAAATTCTGACAACTAAACGACTTGCTAAATACAGGATGGCTACAAAATTAAAACTATTTTAACTGTGTTTAGTCATTAAACTAAACAGCTTTATCAAAAAATTCAAAAAATAATAATATATAAAAATAATAATTTAGGTATGGTGGCAACGCAACAAGTTCATTTCGACCGATAGACCTATTCAGAAATATAATTTCTAAAAACTCTTGCATTTTCCGACTAATGATAGGCCTTGATTTGGATTTTCAAAACTTTCCTTTTTTCTTACGTTGCTACCGGGGGCAAAGTAAATTATAACTTTTCTTTTTTCTAATTTTTAAGTTTTTTTAAGAGTTTTATTTTAATGACTTTTAACACACAGTTAAAAAAGGGACATCAACTTTGAAATTACCCTGTATAGAACTATCTTTACTAATTAGGAGGTAGCCTTTGACAAATTTCAAAATGAAGTTCTTCAATAACAAAGCAAACATTGTTCATAATAATTATAGTGTGTATAATGGATAATAAATCAAATTGTCTAATAACTTATTAAAATATACTTGGTTTGTCTGGTGGTATTTAAAGGTAAACAAAACAATGTATCTATGGTATTACTTAAGAATAATTCTCAGCTATTATGTCATTACGCATAAATATAATTTATTTTCTTCAAAGCAGTGTTTCTTCATTGTATATTTAATATCATCTCGATATAGTTGACCCTTACGAAATCATACAGAATTCTTTAAAAATGTTTACCACGTCTTATTCTATTCATTATAAATAATTTGTAGATAAACCACATCCCATACACTTTGCAATCTGCATGATTATTTTTAACTAATTGTTTCTATGTAAAAATAAGATGAATTACGGAATGGGCCGCTTGGCTCTATTAGATTTTTTTGTGTAAAATCAATAATTATTTATATAAGCTGACCTGGATCAAGTACCTATATATTGTAATGATATTCAGTACATAACGTCGTTGATCTGGCAAAAGAGCGTAAAGGAAAATTAGATAATATTACATGACAGCTATTTAAAGAAAAGTAGTGATAAATCAACCGCTGTAACTCTGTAGAATATAAACTAATTAATTACCATTTTTATTAAGATAGCATAATTGGCATACTTTTAGGCTTATACAGGGTGTTTCATTACGAATAGGACAAAACAACTGAATGCTTTTAAAGTGTCTTGATTGGTTTGATAAAGTATCCCAAATTCTATAGTGCCCTTTAAATATTTAAGAATGCGTTTTTACATTTTCCAGTGCTGGTTTTTCGGATTAGACATAACTTTTGCTAAGAAGTGTACCGCAAAAGTTATATCTGGCCTTGTTCCAACCGCCAAGTGCATGAAGCTACCAATAGCTGATCTAAAGGGATAATCTGGGTCTAGGTAATGGTCCTCACGTTTATCTTTCCCTATATACTGACCCTTCTTCATGGGTATCACTACCGCATTACAATCTTCCATACTAAATTTATTTTAAATATTTCTTGTGTAAATAGCTTGATTGATAAAAATCTTGTTATCAAATTGGAGAATTTGTATTCCCAAATAACTAGGTTATCGTTACCTTAAACTGAGATTTTCATTTTTGTAAGAATTCTTTATTTACGTTCAAATCGTTACCAACAACAAGCCCATCATCAACGAACAGAGTTACTAAAAGCTTAGCAGGTGGTTTCCTCCAGAACAAGCAAGAATCGGCAGTACTCTGAAGTAAATTCGTTTCTTTCAGGAACTCTGTAAACATTTTATTCCAACATCTGGAGGTTTGTTTCAGACCATAAAGGCTTTTAGAAAGTTTACAAACTCTGTCCGTTCCGTCTTCAAATGCTTTAGGCTGCTCCATGTAGATTTCTTCCACCAGGTTACCATAAAAGAAGGCTGTTTTAACAACAAATTGAGATACATGGAGATTCTCTGAAACAATAATAGCTAAAAGAGTTTTTATTGTATCATACTTGACAACAGGAGCAAATGTTTCTTCATAATCAACCCCTTCTTGTTGTGAGAACCCTTGGGCAACCAATCTTGCCTTACAACGGACGTTTCCCAGAGAGTATTCCTAAATTTTAAGAATCCAGCGATTTTTATACAGTTTTCGTCCACGCGGCCTGTCTACCAGTTTCCAGGTTTGATTTTCAACAAGAGATTCTACTTCTTCCTCTATCGCTTACTTATATTCTGCTGCCAAATTAGAAGAAAATGCCAGTTCTATAGTGGCATCATACCTGAATGGTTTGTTAATTTCTGATCTATCACGTAACCTAGACTTTATTGTTTCTTCCTCTAACTTTTCTTGACTTCCAGCAAAACTATCTGTAGTAGAGGTTGACGGTGTCTCATCTGCCAATTCCTTTTTTCGTATGATGGGAGATTGAGGAATATCTGGGTTGTCTAAAATTTTAAAATTGTCGTAAAACATAACTAAATCGTTAACTGTTTCTTTATTTTTAAATATAACATCCCTGCTTAAAGTAACATTCCTTTTGTAAGGAAACCATATTGTAAATCCATCTTTATTACCAGAATAACCAACCAAAAAACCCTTTTCACTTTTTCGGTCCCACTTTGTCCTCTTCTGTTTTGGTACATGTACAAAGCATTCTGTTCCAAAAACTTTCAAGTGACTTACTGGAGGTTGCTCCCCCATCCAAAGAAATATCGGCGTCTGGTTTTCTACTCTCGTTGGGCCACTTCTATTGGTAACATAGGCTGCTGTGTTCACAGCGTCTGCCCATAGTTTCTCAGGAAAATCCTTTACATGCAACATAGTTCTTGTTGATTCTGCCAAAATACGATTTTCTCGCTCTACACCACCCAGTTGTTCAGGTGAATATGGCATCATAATTCTGCAATTAATACCCTGTGCTTCAAGAATTTGTTTGGACGCTTTATTATCAAATTCTTTTCCACTCTCTACTATTACTTCTTTTATAGTGTGTCCCAGTGCTTTTGATGTAGCTAAGAAGGCTTTAAGTTTATCGTTAGCCTCAGATTTTTGCTGAAGGAAGTAGACAGTGCGAAACTTACTGAAATTGTCTTTGAAAACAATGAAATAACGTGCTTTACACAAGGACTTCGCAGGCATCGGACCGCAAACATCGACATAGATTAATTCTCCAGGTCGCTCAGCTCTTTTTGATCTCTCTTAAAAACTTTTTCGATGTTGCCTTGCCATACATACATCGCAGAATTCCTTATCTACTTGAATATCTATTTCTAACTGCGATAAAAAACGTTTAACGTGCTGCTTATTTTGCTGGCCTAAATGTTCATGCCATAACTGAAGGCTGTTTGATGAGACAATAAATGCTTCTGCATTATTTTTGG